CTTTGTAAATAGATTTTAAAAACTTAGAAGAAAAATAGTGATAAGTTCAATTTTAGGCATGATGATTCTAAATGAATTATACAAATATAAATGTCCAGAATAGAGATAGAGGAAACATAAGGACAGATGATGAGAAAACATGGTACTCATAAAGTCACATAGAAGTTCAGGAAAAAAAGACTCACTCATTATTAACAGTTTGAACTATTGCCCCACCAGTTGAAAAATGCATATGTCATGTGTCTGTATGTCTGCATTTATCTTAAACAAAAACTTCGTGAAACATCACCTACCTTTTAACCCTTGATTTGATTTATTTTCTACCCTATTATTTTGTTTCCTCTGGTGTTTTTTGTTTTAAATGATGCCCACAGTCTCTAAAGTGAGTTCAGCACATGCAAAATGGCTTAGATTTTTAAATTAAAAAGAGACCTTTGTGAATTGACCATTTTGTAAAACCAATTGCAAAGATGTGACTGTTAAATCCAAAAGAGATATTCTTTGAGAAAGGGTAAAAAAGAAAAAAATATAGAAAATTAAAGTTGGTTTGGGGATAACCAACATGGGATAGGAGAAAGACCCAAAAAGAGAAAGTGGAATCAGAGGATTCAGAAAAAAAAAAATAGTATCAAAGAAGACAATTTTATGAAAATGAATGGTAGACAATACAAGTTTTCTTTGAATTTATGTATTTACCAATAACACAGTGTTTCTGTCTAGCCTATGGCTAACTGAATCAGAATTACATGATAAATTTAAGCAGAATTTAACAAAACTCATTTTTTTTGTTAAAAATTCAAATACGTAATCTTCTTCCCAGACCTGGCTTTGGGTACCAAAGTAGCAAACAAAAATTTCTCAGGGCATTCTTTTCACCAAGTATTTTTATTTTGGTGCCTTTCACATATTGGCTTTCAAAATGGTACTTTCCAGGTATATGCAATTTCACTTCATGCATTAGATGTATTCTTGAATGGCTATTATGTGAGCAATAGCACACCAAACCAATATTCCCCTAAACAGTACCATGGTTAATTTCAGAACTATGTTCACCCAGAAAGAAACAAACAAGTTTCTGGGGCATTCATCCTTTAAACAAACATTCTGTATCTGATTTTCCTGCATAATTTTACAAGTCATTGACCAAATGGGCTTACAACTCTCATTATCTTTATTCAGTTTAAAAGCATATATACTTAAAAATGTAATATAATGTTAAGAAATTTCATTTTCATTTTGAAGTGACTGTATTTGGACTTAACTGGCCAAGTTATGTAATAAGGTGACATTTAGCAAAACTCACAGGCAGGAAATTCCCTAGGAAGAGAGTTTTCAGAAAATATAAAACTGGAGTTTGTGATTTGGACTCTAATGGCAAATATATCCCTTTATATGGTAAGCTTTGCTAACATAAACATTTGTCAATTTTTTACTGTTTGATACCCAATAAGTACAAGACATGAATCTATTCTAAGATGGGACTCAGCTAACAGCAACAACAGCTACAGTAACTAACATTTATTCACTTATCTCACATCAGACCCTGTTGTAAATTCTTTAGATGGATTAAATCATTTCACTTCACAACAATCCTGTGAAGTAAGTACGATTTTAGACCTCATTTCCCAGATGATGAATTTGAGGTACAGAGAGTTGTATAACTTTCCTAAGGTCCCACAGCTAGAAATAGGAGCTGAGATTCAAACCCACGCAGCCTGTCTTTAGAGTCTGTCCTCAACAGCAGTGTGCTGTACTGTGATTGTAAAAAAAAAAAAAAAAAAAGTTTCAGATGTTGCAGTAGTACTGCTATAGAAAGAAAGACTTGTTTATGTTCTGGGATTTTTTTCCCCATTTTTTATATAACTGATTTCAAGCTAACTTAGGTTTACCTTGGATTCCTGATTAGGTTTAGTTATTAGACCTCAATATAATGTACTTTATATTTGATAGGAATACCCCAAAGAACGTAAAGATGGGAAGTCAGTATCTCATTAACACAAAAATAGAAATCTAATAGATTACTTAGTTCTGTGCCTAAAGGTAAGATAGCATAGTGGTTTGGAGCTGTGCTTCTCAAACTTTATGTACCAATAACCTGTAAATCTTGTTTAAAGTGCAGACTTTCAGTAGGTATGAGGTTGAGCCTGAGATTCTGCATTTCTAACACATTCCCCAGTGACCTGAGCCCACATTTTGAGTAGTAAGGGTTTGTGTCTGGAGTCACAATGCTTGAATTAAATCTCAGTTCCATTATCTACTAGTGTAACCTCCTTGTGTGCCTTTACCACATCTCTAAAACAGTGAGATCAATAAAAGGTTATTATGAGGATTATATGGGATAATCCATGGATAATACTGTGAACAGTTGCTGACATACAGAAAGCATTTAACAAATATTATCTCTTAGTATTATAGACAACTATTAAAAGCATATATTGTATCCTATTAGGATAAAAAAGCCATTTATGGAATTGACTGAGATAGCAGAACATTGAAGGACATTAAATATGTAAGTTAGATCAACCACCCAGCTTTATTAAATACATAAATCCGAAACTGCTCTAAATGAATTTACATGAAGATGGCTTGGCCTATAACATTTGAAGAGAATATTTTTTCCTCTACCAGAGAAGTTTTGTATATTGTAGGTGTGAATTCCAGTTCATTTATTTTAATGTCTTCTACTGAATTTAGAAACAGTCATTTGGTTTGAAATTTTTCATTTTTATCAAATAGAAATTAGGGCTAATATTAACAATAATAATGATTCAAAAATGTGGTCTAAGAAGGGAACTAAATGGATTATAATGATGTGCAAATCAATATGGAACGCAGCATAATTAATTACTTTTTGTTGTTGCAGACTAGGGCTTAGAAAGAATATTATTTATCAGAATTGTGGTAACTGAATAATGATATGAGATGGGAGGATCCAGTGGTTAGGAAAAGTAAAGTTTAGGACCAGATATAAAGATGTAATTTTATAGCATCTTTCCAAATGAAAACTATTAGAAATTTCTCAAATTCAAAACTGTTTGAAATATAAAGAACTGAACAGAGTATACTAGAAAAGAAAAATTAATGGTTTTCCACGCATAAATAAAATCAAGAAGGCTAAAATCTGGTTTTTCCATCAAGTAGGAGAGCTATGAAATGCTTTGGGTGGCCAGAATCTCTATGAGTCAGCAAGGAAAAAAATCAATAAATAACTTGCCTCTTTTCATTTTTTATTTTTCTAAAACAGATAATAGAAAAGATAATTGTTGGATAGGTTTTAATGTGCTTGTTTTCTAAATGAAATAAATAGATGATGCAGATCTGCCTTGTGTAGTCAGAATAGATAAGAATCAAGAGAAAAGGAGGAATTTCAGTGAAACTCTCCTCTTCTCTCTTTCCCTCTAGATTGGGATAAGGAATGCCTGGGCTGCTCCTTTAGTGTCCAGTGTGGTACTAGAATTTTAATTTTTAATACAAAACATGACATATCAGATCTTACTTTACACTGTACTTACTTTAATAAGTGTTACTTTAAAAAATAAGATTTTTAAAAATCTGCATAAAAGTGTGTTATATCAAGGACTGTCTTGTGGAAGTTTTTAAGGCGGGGTTTATGTACACTCAATACACCAAATAAGGATTCTTCAATCGAAATAATGATCTGATTTCACTTGTACTTTTAGTGACATTTTGGGAACTTTGATTTTTAACATCTATAAAGGTGATAATCAACAAGAGCAAATGATTACAAAATGAGGCACAAAAAGAACAGACTATGAAGAGAACTACACCAACATCACGTCTCGTTATTTGGGTTTACATTGGTCTGAATCAAATTCCTGAAAAACAAAAATTTACCAAAATGCCTGAGCTAATTTTCCCACTTATAGGGCAGGTACTAGTTGTCTCTCAACACCAGAGAAGCAAGGAATTTCACTTTAGTGTGATCTATTTATGCCTCTTGGATTTAGCATGTGCATTTTTTAATGACCCCAAACCAAAGGAAATGTAGAAACCAATTTGAAAAGTTGACTGAAAAGTTGACGTTAAGGTTGTGACACCAAGCAAAACAACAAGAGAATTTAAAGTTAAACTGACACACAATTCCCAAATCAGTCTGTTATACTCCTAATTTAAAAAACAGTTACTATGTGAAATAGTGATGGAATGTCAGCCTCTGCTTTGAAACTCCTGAATTTTGTCATTTGGTGTTTGTGTCACAACCTTAATATTATTTAAATATACTTTTTAATATATATTATTTAAAAAATATCTTTGAATTGAAGATACTCCAAAGCTTTGAAGAAACCAACCTCAAAGCACTGCAAGCCTAGAGTGCCACTTTTATTAGAAGTGGTGCATAAAACATTTGCTGTTGACAAATCTAATTCATTAAAAGGTGAGATGGATGCATTTTAAAATAACTGGTTGGCATCATTATCTGCAGCGCCTTTTATAAATTATTCCTCTTTTCCCTTTTGACTGAACTTGTCACAGTTTCCTTTCAGAGTCTGATTGTTATGTCTTATTGTCAATGCTTTCAACATGTTTAGATAAGTCATAAGTTAAATAAGCAATGGTACTTTATTTTCTAGAAATGAGAAAGGGTAGCAGAAATAGATTATTTCATTCAATTCATTGATTTTTAATGAAAGACAAGTGAAATCAGTTAGTGGAGTTTCATCTGACACAAAGGATTTAAAAATTAAACTATATTATTTGGGTAGAAGGGAGAATTTCAAAGAAAGGAACATAAAGAGAGATGCTAGCATGCCTGCTGCACTGTTGTGCTGAAGACTTAGTTTAAAATTGAATTGTGCTTCCCCTGACATCAAGATCAGGTACATCACAAGGCTGACAGCTGGCTGGCACACTAACTTCCTAAAAGAAAATGCTAACCGTATTTCACTGAGAAGCCAAAGGAATAGAATTACAGAAGCCTTCAAGAAAACTGTGTAGGCAGAGTACAAATTATTCAAAGTATGAAGACAAGCATTTCTTACCTAATTTTGTTTTAGAAGACCAAGAATGAGCTGGTCTTCTAATCCTAAGTAGGTGGATAATTATTTCCTCACAGTCTGTCCGTAGAAGACTCGCCCCTTTCTTTAGTTATTGCCAACAGAATATTTTCCAAAATACATAAAACATACCTAGAAAAACAATTAGACAAAGCTTTATAACAGCCACAGAGAAAGGAGGGCATAATCATAACATTTGGTGTCTCTATTAGTAGTGACAGTACTAGCATGAAGTTATGACATGTAGGCTTGAGCTAAACAATGCTGGAAATACAGAAAGAAACTGGAATTTTGAAGAAAAGCTTATTAACAAGAGGAGTGTTAAGACAATGATGATAGAAGTACCTAGGAAAATACATATTTAAAATATTCCTTTATTTTCACTGATCTTTTCATTTGTTTCTAAAGAAATGTAAATAAAATAGATTAAGGGATAGTTGCACCTTTATAAAATAAGTAATGCCTTTCAATACAATTACTTTTTTCCCATTAGTTACCAGTTGCCCCAGAACTGTTTATTAAAACCATCTTTTCCCTACTCTTCTGGGCTATCTTGTTAAAACAGATTTTGATTCAGCTGATCTGAGCTTGGGGCTGGACAGTCTGTATTTTTAACAAGCTCCCAAATAATATTACCAATACATCTGATCACTTTCTGTCAGTATACTTACCTTTTTTCTGGACCAAAATAAACTGCTATTATTGTTGGTTATTGGCCCTTTATTTTTTTATATAGCTTGAGAATCTTTGTCAAGTATTCTCCCCTCCCAACCAAAACAGACACTTAGGAATTTCACTGAGATTGCTTTGATCAAATTCAGCACCTGCAAAGTGGTGAGTTTTCCAAGCCATGTGTACTGTATATTATTTCACTTATTGAAGTCTTACTGTCACACAATAGTGCTTTATTATTTTCCCCATGGGGGTTTTATACATCTCTTGTTATGGCTGATGTATTCCTATGTATTTCATATTTTGAATGTTATTGTAAATAACATCTTTTTTGTGAAAACGTTTTCATTTTTTGTTTACATGTGAATGTATTCTATAATTTTTGTATATTGATGTATTTATCCAGGACACTTGTTAAACTCTTTAGTTTTACTATATGCACAAATAAAATTTTACTTCTTCATGCCAAAGTCTATACTTTATACTTAATATTATCTTGCCTTACAAAAGAAAAAGAAAAAAAGTCAAGCAATAAATGTGTTATTTAGTAGAAAAGACTTTTTTTTTCTATCATTAGTCAAACTGATCTCTTGGTTAGACCTAGGTCAACTAGAACACTGATATGCAGAAGGTTCCAAAATTTTTATATTTACTGCATGCCCCCAAACTTCTTGTCTTCCTCTGGTGTCTGATACACAAGGGCTTAAATGTAAATTTCCATTAGCCATTCTGACTTTAAATATCTATTTCACCTGAAACATACAAAATCCCTCATAAACAACTTGGCTACTCTGGAAAATGAATTAGGACAACAGTGAAAACGGAGGAATTATAGCAGGGGAAATGGTTTGGTTCCATCTAAGAACTAAAGTGAAGACGCCAGTGCTAGGAAGCCATTACAGAGCTACAATCCCTCACCTACACTCCATGGTTGAAATCACAAGATTTCTTGAAAAACCCATGATAACTGAAATTTTTTTCTTGATGACAATGTCAGCCTGCTCTAGGGTGAACTGCCCTTCTTGAGAGTTTTCAGTCAATCAGTTTGACTAGAGGGAAAAAAATTAACACTTATTGTTTAACACATCACTACCAAAGTTGTTAACTTGGTTACCTGCTGGAAAGGCTAGATGGTGGAAGAGAGGATGTGCTAGATGGTGGAGGATAGGAAAGGGTAAAGACAGTGTAGGAGGAATTAATTAAAATAATAAACATGAAGTATGAAATAGAGCAATATAGAAAATGTTTAAGAAAAGGAATAAAAATAAGATCCAAGCGAACATGTACACATTAACATTGCAACCGTTTAAAAATGTGTAAACAAAATTTTTGGTTTTAAAGATCAGTCAACATGTATTTTTCCCCTTTTCCTTCCAGAGATTCCCTTAAAAAGATAATGAAGGTGCGTGTTGGGGAGTGGGGGGTAAGAATTTGTAAACCCACAAAAATGAAGAGATTGCGGAGGCATCACTACAAATTTATATAAGCCAGATGAAAGAGCATTCATGGGAAAACAGAGTGGGAAAAGTCAGACGTTAGAATGTGTGCATAGTTCTGCAATGAAAGGAATGACCTGACATCCTTGGAAGAATTGTGAAGAAGTGAGGCTAAAATATACATTCAAATGAAGCTTTGTCCAAAAAACAAGGAATCTCCTTCCCCTACTTTTTTTGTACAAGCAACTACTTTATTTATTTCTTGTCATACATAGGAAGTACCTGACTGTGAGCAAACGGAAAAAAATAAGTAAGTGGGAGAAGAGCTGTTTTCGACACTGAATTAAATGTCTAGAAAACTAGGGAAGGGAGTATGCCCCAAACAAAAGTCAGCCTCATTCCAGCCACTAGTTGACTTATAGCACACTCATGGTTCCTGATGTGCTTATTCTAAAGCAAACTGTACCAGTCCAATCAGTGCCATCCAAATACAGTTTTCAGGAACTTTTAATTTATTTTTAAATATGCATATACAGCCAAAGACCGCTGAGTAGTCTTCAAATATTTGAAGAAAATATTTTTTTCTCACAACTGAGACTTGTTTAAAAAAAAGATATCAGGGCCTCCCCTGGTGGCGCAGCGGTTGAGCGCTGGGTTGTGAAGCTGCCCGCAGCCTCTGCAGCACCGGTTCAATCCCCAGCCACCAGCGAGGGTCCCACATGGCGCGCAGACCTCTCCTGCCGCCCGCTGCTCCCCTCAGCAGTGTGTTTCAGTAAATCTGCCTGCTCTGCTCTCCCCTCTGGCTCTGGTGAATTCTCTCACCCTTCTGCACTTCTGACTGTACCCAATGCTTGTATAAACAAACAAACAAATAAATAAATAAATCTTTAAAAAAAAAAAAAGATATCAAATAATAGAACATGTAAATTTTCCATCATTCTAAGAGAGTACAGAAAAAAAATACATACATAAAGCAAGACTAGAAGCAGGGAAGCAGGACTTCTACCTATGACTAAGTATGATCAGCAAACACTTCTAAAAAACAAACTACAAAGCTATACAAAATTGACAAATACAATGACTTCAGTGCTTTAGAAATTGAAAAAGGAATATAACAATTTGAGAAGTGTTTATATTTGAAAAATTGCTAGTGTTCAGGTAAGAACACTATGATCCTGTGGTATTCTGGTCTGAAGGTACTCTTATCACCATAAATCACAATTCAGTGAACAGCGTTTCCTCTAAGATGGGATATATCATTAGGGCTGAAAATGTTTCTGTGTCTCTGCTGTGGTCCACGGGGGTCACTTGAGCTTGAGCGGTGGGTGATACCCAAGACCAGAGGTGTTTCAGTGCAAGCAATCTTAGAAGCGGCAAACAGAGAAAGTATAGAGCTTGTTAGTTCAAGGTCATGGTCATAAGTGAGGCACATGTACTCTTGGCTAAGACCAAAATGATGCACAGTGGAGACTAGAGAGGAGCAAAGCCAGTAACACATTCGTGACCAACCCTGAGGATGTACCATCATATGCACAGAGGAAACGTGAAAGGTCCAGCAGAAAGCAAAGCTAGGGCAAGCTTGAAAAAAGTCTAAACTTTATGTATTTTTCTATCAGTAAATAATGAGGACATGACAGAAGACTTACCAACTCGAAGTGTTACATCATAACCACTGACCAATCACCAGCTTATCATTAAGTTATAGAGGCAAAAGGGTAAGTCCTAAAAATCAAACATAAAATGCAAACAAGGGAAAATAGAGATCACATACTTGGTTTATGCAAATCACTAAGCAAAGAAACACATAAAGAAACAACAATTTTTAGGGAAAAAATCAGAATCCAAAGTTGCTACAACATATATTCCACAATGTTCAACTTTCTACAAGAATTTATAAGACATGCAAAGAAAAAGAAAAAAAGCAGTCAATAGAAACTGAGTGTCCCCAGATGTTGGATTTAAACAAAGACTTCAAAGCAGCTATTATAAATATGTTCAAAGAACAAAAGACCATATATAAAGAATAAAAGGAAAGACAACAATGAATCAAAAATAGAGATTCTCAATGAGACAAAATTTTTAAAAGAACCAAATTGATTAAAAACTTAAATGTCTTCAAAGCTCCTAGAAGAAAACAAAAGAGAAAAGTTCCTTAATATGGATCTTGGCAACAATTTTCTGGATATGATGATAACCAAAGTACAAATGACAAAATCTAAAATAAACAAGTGGGACTACATAAAACCAAAACTCTGCACAGTAAAAGAAACAGTTAACAAAATTAAAAGACAACCTACTAAATGGGAAAAAAAAATCTGATGAAAGGTTAATATCCAATATATATAAAGAACTCATAAAATTCAATAACAAAAACAAATTTAAAAACTCCCAAACAATCTAAGTAAAAATGGGCAAAAACCAGAATAGACATTTTTCCAATATATAAGAATGGCCAATAAGTACATGAAAAGATCATTAATTATTAAAGGAATAGGAATCAAAGTTAAACCACAGCATTACGTCAAGTCTTTTAGAATAACTACCACCAAAAAAATAAAGTAAGGGTGTGGAGAAAGGGAACCCTTATATACTGTTGGTGAAATTGTAAATGGGTGCAACTGCTATGGAAAACATATGGAAATTCTTCCAAAAATTAGAAATATAATTACCATACGATCCAGCAATTCCTCTTCTGTGTATATTGCCAAAGGAAATGAAAACACTATGTCAAGAGATATCTGCATCCTCATGTTCATAAACACATTATTTAAAATGGCCAACTATGAAAACAATTAAATGTCTGTATGTGGAAGAATGGCTAAAGAAAATATGAAATATAATATATATAATGGAATATTATTCAACCATAAAAATGAAAACCCTGCTATTTGTGATAACTTGGATACACATTTGAGGACATTTTACAAGTGAAATGAATCAGAGGGAGACAAATAGTCTATGATCTCACTTAGATGTGAAATCTAAAAATGAAACAAAACTAAATACTTCAAAGAAAAATAGATC